CCCATTGGAAAAAAATTAACTCCTTACAGAACAGCTACTGGGAGGCCAATACCCCTAACAGCAGAACCTCATGGATCTCCTTTTCTCTCTCTCTCTCTTTTTTTTTTTAAAGATTTATTTATTTGTAAGGCTGAATTACAGAGAGGCAGAGACACAGAGAAAGAGGTCTTATATCTCTGGTTCACTTCCCAAATGATTGCAATGGCCAGAGCTGGGCTGATCAGGAGCCAGGAGCTTCTCTGGGTCTCCCACACGGGTTCAGGGACCCAAGGACTTGAACCATCTTTCACCGCTTTCTCAGGCCATAGCAGAGAGCTGGCTCACAAGTGGAGTAGCTGGGACTCAAACCAGTGCCCATATAGGATGCTGGCTCTCAGATGGTGGCTTTACCTGCTATGCCACAGCTCTGGCCCTTGATCTCCTTCTCTCTTGAACTCTTGACTAAATACAGCAAGGTTTTAATGCATTTGGCCCAAGTGTATTTCCATCAGGTAAAAGTGGCTTTCTGTGATAAAGTGAGGACTCCAAACCTTTCATGATCTTGAACCTGGAGATTGGGTTTTCTGGAAATGGTATCGGAGAGCCTACCCTTAAACAGTATCGGAAGGGCCATGCTAAGTTCTCACCACTGACACTGCAATAAAAATTCAGGGCCTTGAACCTTGGGTCTCTATCTCACAACTCCAAAGTGCTTGTCCAGACTCCTGGAAGCGTGTAACTGTTAGAGACCTTAAGGAAAGCTGACCAAGGATATTTTCCCTAAAAGCAGAAGGCCTCCTAGACATGGACAGCTTTTTCAGGACCACAGATCAAGACTTCTCTGCTGTCATTGAGCACCTTATTTTAGTTGTCCTTTTCCATCTATTTCCTGCTGTCACAATTCCTTCTCTTTCTTTACAGATCAATCCTTGGGACCATAATCTGTGGAAGGCTTTGGCAAGGGCTTATGCTTTAGCAAGAAACCTGCCTTTTTAAGTTTGTGGATCAATGTCCCTAAATCAGGAAACAGTTCCACCAATACCAATGTGTCTCTGTGTTCCCAGACTCACCCTGAAACCCCAAAGGAAGAACGGCAGGCTATTCTTGATATTCCAAGACACCACCACTGCTGTATGCTTTCCCACACTTGCTAGAAATATTCATAGTGTCACGACCTTTCCAATTGCTACCAAATATAGAAAACTTGCCAGAGTACTGTTTGAAAAGGATTTGTTTATAGGTATCTCATACAAGACCTGGAACTCCCTGTGTGGGTATGAGCAATGGCTGGCACATCCCTAGTCTAAATCCAGTAAGGCCCCTTTCCGTTAAATGTGATTAAGCACCCTTACAGCATGCTGTAAAAGACCACAAAAGTGAAGTTTCCAATTGGGCCTTGTTCAGGAGCTCTGCAGACTTGTGGGACAAATACAACTAACCTTTGCTCATATGCCACTAGGTGGCTCTCTTCCCCAATCCTAAGATCTTATATTGGTCCTGCAGTTTGCTTGCTCTGTTCTGCTCCTTGATAGTTCAGATCTTGCTAACTGGACTAGCTCATTCCTTCTTAACAACTTTCCCTGAAAATTCTCCTAATGCCTCTATAGTCAGAAATCAAAGTTGGTACCAACCTTGAAACAGATGAAGATAATTCCTGGGCAAATTGTTTCTGGGGATGACTATTGGAGGTCAAGGTGTAGTGTACTGTTGTCAGATATTTGAAGCTAAACTGCCAACTGGGGAAAGCCTGGATTTTGTTGCCAATTAGACCTCCCAGGGGTGCAAAAGGATATATACCATTCTCTGAAAAATGGATGAGAACACTCATGTTCAATAAAAACACTCAATGGAATTTCAAACAGCCTTAGATCTCCTCTTCATCCACGTTGGGGGCTTATATACAGTGCTGAATGAGACTGAATGTTAAACCTATCTTTCTCAAGGTTTTACTACTACAGAGGTGACTAACACTGCTAATTCTTTAGACACTGCCACTGAATACTTGAAGGGGGGAAGAAACACTTGATATGTTTAAGGGAGCTGTCATCCTGAATGATGGGTGGCAAGATGGGCTATTGTAATGTTTTCTAATCCTTATATTTCTCTTAGCCGTCTCCAAATTAACTATGACCTGTGTTATCAGGCCAATTATAAAAATGGATACCTCTTTAAAGTAGGCCATATTCCAGTAAACTTTGATCCTTAAGCATCATGCCTCAAACAAAGACCCTAGTCAACATGACTTGAATGCTGTTACAGTCTCAATATTGCCTGAACCCTGAATTGTTTGACTAGTTCAGTTTGTGGAGACTCCTGCTAAGGGGTCACTTGGTATTACCCTAATAGCCATCTGAATGGTCTCCCTGAAGTATTGTAAACGCAAGAGTCTTAAATCCTCACATTCAGCCATCCTTTGCACATCAAATGGTCTCATTACACTTAAAATAGCAAAACAACAAAGAAAACATAAAGAACCATCCAATTAATTTGACACTGTGAATTCCATACCAAGACCACAAAGGTGCCTTATGATGATGACATAAAGTAGTGTCAGTATACAAGGTTTTGGTCAATCACAAAATTGTAAGGCTAACCAAAGGGGCTGAATTAAGTTAAATTAAATTTAGCCTGAAGTTCCATCTACACATAGTGAACAATAATGTACCTTAATATGTAAACAAACTGCAACCTAGCTTGAGAGCATATTCTTGTACCAAGTAGCCAAGTCTCAGCCAATCACAGCAGGCAAGCTTTCAGTCAGTCACAGGGTGTAAACTGTCAAAACATTTCCAAATAAGGCAAATGTCAAAGTCCAACAAATCAGGCCAATTCTCTGTAAGCCACTTTGCTCTTAGCTGTCCATGCTCCCTCCGCATGCTGTGGAGCAGTGCTCTGTGAACCACTTTTGGTCCTGAGTCCTACCTGGTTTATGAATTTTTTTCCTCTGTTCATTTAAACTCTGTTAAATTTAATTTGTCTAAGTTTTCAACAGTTTAAACACTTTAATGGCTCTTGATACACACTGACAAAGTGCTTTCCCAAAATGTTTTAAAACTTTATAGTGGCAAAAGCCAATGAAGGAGGCTGCATTTTCCTAATGTTTTCAAGTACTCTAATGAGGGAAAAATATTCTTAAAGGACAAAAATGGATGTTGAGTAATAAGGCACAGTGGTTCTCCCTGTCTCTTGTTCTGTTTTGCTTTGAAAATACAGATTCCTATAGATACCAGGTAGGGGAAACAGCGTGCTTGAAAAGCCAGGGATCAACCACCCCATGATAATAGTCTAAACAAACACACAGATAGGTGTTTGCGCCTCATTGTTAGGAATCAGTTGAGATGCCCATGCATGGATTTGATACCTGGCTCCAGCACCTGACTCAGACCCTGGGAGGCAGTGGTAATGGCTCAAGTAACTGGGTTCTTGCCATCAACATGGGAGACTTAGCTTGAATATCTGGCTCTTGGTTTTGGCTTGGTCCGACCCTGGCCATGGTGAGCATTTGGTGAGTGAAATAGCAGATGGGAACTCTATTTGCCTTTCAAATAAATAAATAATGATGATGATGTTAAAAACAACAATAATAAAGCCCACCAAAACAAAGCACAACACTCATTATGTCTCTGGACTAGGAAAATTGGGTTATTGTTGAAAGTTATTAAACAAAGTAAGAAGGCACATATTTTACTTTTATGAATCTCTAATTTATAGTTTCCTTTTCTCACAGCTAACGAATTGTCAGGGCCTCATGTTGGCCTTTTTCTATGCCCTGCATCTCTTTGATCTCTCCTAAGTACTACCATTTGCTTAGAAATAGAGACTTAGGCATGGAATCAGTTATTTTGACCTTGGAGGTAGAGATATTTGCTCAAGAACTTTAGCAGTTAGAAAATGGAACATCTGATTCAGAGTCAGTAAAACAATATGATGGGGATGTTTATATACCCCAGGATGAAATAAATAACAATGGCATAATATTCAATATAGCCCTGGAAGTTTTAGCCAGAGCCATCAGGCAAGAAAAAGAAATCAAAGGTTTCAAATTGGTAAAGATGAAGTCACACTATCCTTATTTGCAGATGACATGATTCTATATATAGGGGGATCCAAAAGACTTCACCAAGAGACTACTGCAGCTCACAGAAGAGTTTGGTAAAATGGCAGGATATAAAATCAATATACAAAAATCAATAGTATTTGTATACTCAGACAATGCCATGGCTCAAAAAAGAACTTCTAAAGATTGATCCCATTCACAATAGCTACAAAAAAAAAAAAAAAAAAATCAAACACCTTGTGTCGCTCCCCCTCTTCGTGGAGGAGCGACACTAAACCCTGCCTGGGCTTCATATCTGAGTCACGGCACCATTATGTCGCTCCCCGTCTTCGTGGAGGAACGACACAGGACCCTGTGCTGTTCTTTTGTCTGCTCGGCCCTCCCCGGGTTTGCTGCTGGTTCTTCCCAGGTTGGCTACCGTCCCTTCCACCTCTGTGGAAGGGCGGTTCCCCCTGGCCACTTTCCCCACTTCCGCGGGGGAGCGGCACACCGCCGGCCGGCTCTCTCGGGGGCTGCACAGGTGTTCCTTCAGGTAGATGTTCCCCTTAGATGTTCCTGGTGCATGTTGTCTCTCTCTTCCTTTATAGTCCTCCTCCACCAATCCCAACTCTGCTACCCACATGCCGAGTACACTGCTCTCCTGCAATCAGGAGCAGGATCAGCTCCTGCAGGTCATCACCCAAGCTAGCGAGAGGCAGCTGCGCAGAAGTTGCTACTCCTTTCTCAGCGCCATATTGTGGGAAAGCAGATGCATAGAATAAGTCTTAATTCCAGTAACTTAGTCTAGTCCGAGTTGCTCCCAGTTGCTTCCCACAACCTTGGAATAAATTTAACCAAGGATGTCAAAGATCTCTATGATGAGAATTACAAAACATTAATGAAAGAAATAGAAGATATAAAAAAATGGAAAAATCTTTCATGTGCATAGATTGGAAGAATCAATATCATTAAAAAGTCCATGCTACCAAAAGCAATTTACAGATTTAATGTGATACCAATCAAAATACCAGACATTCTTCTCAGATGAAAAAATAATGCTGAAATTCACTTGGAAACACAGGAGATCTCGAATAACTAAAGCAATACTATACAACAAAAACAAAGCTGGAGGCATCACAATACCAGATTTCAAGACATACTACAAGGCAGTTATAATCAAAATAGGCTGATAGGGGCTGGTGAGTGGCTCACTTGGTTAATCCTCTGCCTGTGGTGCTGGCATCCCAAATGGGTGCCGGGCTCTAGTCCCGGCTGCTCCTCTTCCAGTTCAGCTCTCTGCTGTGGCCTGGGAAGGCAGTAGAGGATGGCCCAAGTGCTTGGGCTCCTGCACCCGCATGGGAGACCAGGAGGAAGCACCTAGCTCCTGGCTTCAGATTGGCACAGCTCTAGCCATTGCGGCCATTTGGGGGGTGAACCAATGGAAGGAAGACCTTTCTCTCTGCCTCTCCCTCTGTCTGTAACTCTACCTCTCAAATAAATAAATAAAAATATTAAAAAAAAGAAACTCCAAAACAACAAAACAAACAACCCAATTAAGAAGTGGGCCAAGGACTTAAACAGACATTTTTCAAAAGAGGAAATCCAAAGGGCCAACAGACACATGAAAAAATGCTCAGGATCATGAGCCATCAGTAAATGCGAATCAAAACCACAATGAAGTTTCACCTCACCTCAGCTAGAATGGCTTTCATATAGAAATCAACAAACAACAAATGCTGGTGAGGATGTGGGGAAAAAGGTACCCTAATCCAGTGTTGGTAGGAATGTAAACTGGTAAAACCACTATGGGAATTTACCCAAGGGAAATGAAATCAGCAAATAAAAAAGTTATCTGCACCCTCATGTTTATTGCAGTTCAATTCACAATAGCTAAGACACGGAATCAACCTAAATGCCTGTCAACTGAAGACTGGATAAAGAAATTATGGGATATGTACTCTATGGAATACTACACAGTGGTAAAAAAAATGAAATCCAGTCATTTGCAACAAAATGCATGAATATGGAAAACATTATACTTAGTGAAATAAGCCAGTCCCAAAGGGACAAATACCATATGTTCTCCCCGATCTGTGATTAACTAATAGAGCACCTAAAAGGAAAACTGTAGAAGTGAAATTGACACTTTGAGAAACAATTATTTGAACAGCCCTTGTCTTGACTGTTGAGGAACAGTTTTTTTTTTTTCTTTTTTTCTTAATGGAGAATGGGACTGGAAATGGGAAAGAGAGAAGGAGGGGGGGTTGGAGTGGGGGTGGGTATGATGGGAAGAATCATTATATTCCTAAAGCTGAACTTAAGAAATTCATACTCATTAAATAAATGGTTTCTTTGGGGAAAATAGAATAAAATAATGGCATAAATTTCCCACTCCTCAAAGGGGCTTGTAATTGTACAGTTACTGGTTGTTGGAATACTCTGGTATTTTCTTAAACAGTGATAGAAAGTGAAGTCAAGGCATTTATGATACACTGTGACAATGAGATCCTATTCTAGATATTCCATGTGCATGCACAGAAAAACATCTCAAAAGTGGAATGTTAAATGCTGAGGGCAGTTATCACAGGGTGAAAGAGTGGATACTTTTACTTGATTTATTTTGCTTTCTTATCTATCTGAAAATTTAAGATGAGCATATATTACTTTGATAATCAGATGGGAATATAAAGATTTTAAAAGATGAGAAAGAAAATCATCAAAAAGGGAAATCCCAATATTTCATTGTTTAGAATTTAACTGCTAAGACTGCTTTAATAAATTATGTGGTGTTACAAAAATGCAATGCAGTAAAATTTTCTAAGCCCATGATCTCCCCTCCTTGCTTAATATTAATAGCTCTGATTCTTTAAGTATGTTTATTTTCAGAATTTTATTTTAAAGGGATTTCTGTGGTATAACATAATGGCTATTATGGGAATCTTACTAAAAATCATTTATAATGGTCAAATTACAACATATGCAATAAGATCTATAAAATTTTCCTGAAAATAGAAAAGGTACACATTATATACCACCTTGAACTTAAATATTTCCTTAAATTTTCCAAAATAATTTTGTGTAAAATGTTAGTTTCAAAGGCAATTATAGAGCTCTTTACAATAAAATCCAAGATAAAATAGTTTTTGCAGCTTGAAAATTTATCAAAAGGCACAAGTAGATTATAAATATATTTTGGCAATCTGATATACAAAAGTACTTTAAAAGTTGTCTAGTTAAATTACAGATATGATATGCTTGATGAAATCCACCTGTAAGGCTAACATGCATGATGATTTCTTCCAGCTAAATAGAAATAATTCATTTGAAAAAAATTCTATGAGTATTATGATTAGTTTGAGTTCTTCACAAAGATTCTTTTATAAGTTCAGCTAATCTCTGGAAGGCCTAAAATAGAAAAAAAGATAAGAAGTGGTGAGATTAGGATCTCTTTTGGAAACATAACTTTAAAAATTCAAACAGAATGCCCATTGGAAGTTGAGATAAGGCAATGAAAAATCAAGATCATGGCAGTTTTATCTGGCAAGATGCCATCAGTTGAATCTACTAAAATACATAGCTATAAGTACATTAGATTTTGTTTGACCATAAATAAGCCCTTCTAATGATCCTTTTCTATATTATTCACATTATTTTATAATTTCATATAATCTTTTACCTGTATATACATTTGACATTTTTTAACTATTCTACTCTACTCATACATAAAAGCAGAGAGAACTTATGAAAAGCACATTCAATGACATAAGAAAGCAAGTAAACCCAAGACACAGCAAAAATGTCCATCCCCCAGGGTAAATAAGAACTCTCCTCAGGGTTAATATCACTGTTTAATTTATAACTTCTTTTTGGATTTCCAGACACACAGCTCTTGGGATCTTGCTTCTCTGTTTCCTGTTATTCCAGTGAAAGCTAGACTTCACTGATTTCTCTTTACCCTCACCAATCCTTTTTCTTCAGCAAAGAGACTGGTGACTATCATGAAGCTCTACTTTTTGCTCAGTTAATTCCATGAAGAAAGGAAAGAGATTTTCCTTGTAACACACTGGTACTCTCCCAACACTGCTCAGTATGTTCTGAACAGTTATTCATGAAGACAACAAATTTTAACTTCACATTAGACTCATTTGTCTGTAGAGATCTAGTCACTGAGTAAAAGGGATCTTTATGTTAGCTGATGATTGGTCCATGAATAAGCTTTCAGAAGCCTAAGAAGACATTAAGCAATGTTTTAACTCACAAAGTGAACACAGGCACCAGAACCAGAGTTGACAGTGTTACGGTGATGAGAACACTGTACTCACCACATCCATCTGTTCTGGAGAAACTATGGAGAAGCAAGCTCTCAAGTAAGGGCTGGGAGCAGAGCTGTTAATGTAGAAACCATTTCCTGGAACCAGCAAGACCTAAGAGGGTTGGAAAATAAGTAACATGCTATGAAAGAAAAACTAGAATACAGGTAAACATGATCTCAAAGTGGAGAAGGAAATTTTAAGTTTAAAAACAGTTAAATCACAAGAAGACAAAACAATTTATATAAAAATTGTATATGTCATATAATGAACAAAACTAGACAAGTGTTTATTACAAATGTGGAAAATACTCTCCTCTATGTATAAAAAATGCACAGAGGGGCTGGCACTGTGGCGTAGTAGGTAAAGCCGCTGCCTGCAGTGCTGGCATCCTATATGGGTGCTAGTTCGAGTCCCGGCTGTTCCACTTCCGATCCATCTTTCTGCTATGGCCTGGGAAAGCAGTAGAAGATGGCCCAAGTCCTTGGGCCCCTGCACTTACGTGGGAGACCTGGAAGAAGCTCCTGTCTCCTGGCTTTGGATCAGCCCAGCTCTGGCCATAACGGCCATTTTGGGGGTGAACTAGCAGATGGAAAACCTCTCTCTCTTCCTCTGCCTCTCTGTAACTCTGCCTTTCAAATGAATAAATAAATCTTTTCTTAAAAAAGTGTGTAAGATGGGGTGATGAGAACTGCTATTTTTTTTTTTTTTTTTTAATGAGAGGCAGAGAGACACACATTGGTGGGATGTGGGTCAGAAGTGTGAGTGCTCCTGTCTATTGGTTCACTCCCCAAATGCTTGCAACAGTTGGGTCCCAGCTGGCTGAAGCAGGAAAGGCAATCCAGGTATCCCCTGTGGCTGCCAGGACCCCAATTACTTGAACCATTAAATGATGCAGTCTCCCAGGGTTTGCATTGTTAGGAAGCTGGAATTAGAAGCTGAAGCAGGGACTGAACCTAGACACTGCAATGTGGGACACAGGCCTGCTATTCCAGATGACCTGTGGCAGAGAATGCTGCATGACTGTAGACTCCATCTGCTTCCTGGGCATACACACTGTTCTCTAGCCCCTTTCTTGTTGTGTCTGGCCATGTGAGCAAATTCTAGGCCTCCCCTAGAAAAATCTTTCCACCAGTGACCAACTGCACTTTTCCCATTTTGTAGCAATCTTGGATCCAAGTGTTGAAGGTTAAAATGTAACAAGATGGAAACAACCAGGGTCCCCAAATCACTGAGGGAGCAGAGTTGCCTGCAGATCACATCTTTGAATCTTACGAGTAAACTATAATCTTCTATTGTGTTAAGCCTTTGAGATTTTGGGAGTTTATGTTTCAAAACAGCTGGCATTAACTACTACAATCATGGTCTTCAAAACTATTAAGTAATTGCTTGTGATGATGACATGGTATGAATCTGGATACTGTCTGCTACCAGATGAGCCAGAGGGAAATGAGTTGGGGCACTCTCGTGAAAATGTTTCAAGACAAAAGACGGGTTTCTTTGTCCTGAATAACCATACAATGCAAACTATTAATTCTCTCAATATAGTGGAAAACTTTGGGGTGGACTAGAACCAAGGCAGAGGATGACCAAAGGCAAGCCGACCAAAATCTGGGCCAAGGTAGTGGAATTACAGTTGGAAATGATGTGGAAAATGTAAAGGAACATGCAACAAAACATAGGGAATAAATGAAGTCTGAAAAAAGTACAGTAAAATATGAAGTCTACATCCCTAGCACCCAGCCCAGAGATACATACAGTTACTTACCAAATGGTTTTGATAATGGCATTGATAAAAAAAAAAAAAAGCAAAGAAAAAAACTTTATTGTGTTAAAATGTATCTGTTTGGAATCATGAGTATTAGCAAACAGAACATTTTCTCTGCCAGGATTAGTACATTTGGGGATATGAATGCATTCTACTTGTTCACTCAATGGCAGATGTTATTTCCTCAATTAACATTTTATATTGAATTATTTAATAATAATATATAACATTATTATATATTGAATGCCTACCTCTAATTATCAAATGGCTGGCATTTAGACTATTATCAGTATCACAGCAGGATATTATTCAACAGTTAAATAAACCTCATGTTTGAGTATAGATGATACTGGCAAGAAAATGTTTTGGAGACTGTATACAACCTGCTCTGGTCTCTTTAAGTGTCTCTTTCCAATGTTGCATGAGTTTGCTATGAAAGATCAGGTTATTAACAAATTATTTTCTATGACTACATCTTTGAGTCATCTAAAAATTTACTTGTCTTGACTGTTGAGGAACTTTTTTTTTTTCATACTATTTGCTGAACTCTTCGTGTAGGGTTAATCTTAGTGGAGGGTTAATCTTACGACTATGAAGTTAACTGAAAATAGATCTGTAAAAAATAAGAATGGGAATAGGAGAGGGAGGAGAAAGAAGGGTGTGAGGATGGGCAGGAGGGAGGACAGGGTGGGAAGAATCACTATGTTCCTAAATTTGTGTATATGAAATGCATGACGTTTAAATAAAATAAAAAGTATCTGTTTGAAATAAGTCAATTAAATTTTTTATGAAGTATCTACTATTTACTGTTATGAGGATTAGAACAATGACTACAGCAAGAGTTCTGCTCTCAAATAAAATGGGTAGGAAGGATAATGGCCTTCGCAAAGGCTGCAGTGATGGTTTAAAGAGTTAGTATGTGTAAAGCACCTAGACAAATACCTGTGTTTAGTAAATGCTCAACAAGTATTAGCCATTAGTATTTGAAATAGAGGGGGTTTTCTCAATAATTATGAAGGTAAAATAGACTCACAGAAGGAAATTTGGAAAATGCATAAAGGTGTAATGGAAGAGGATGCTGGTGCTGGAGGCAGAGGCTTAGCCTACTATGCCACAGCACCAGCCTCCAAGAGCTTTTTTTTTTAAAGATTTATTTATTTGAAATGCATAGTTACAGAGAGGTAGAGGCAGAGTTACACACACACACACACAGAGAGAGAGACAGACAGACAGACAGAGAGGTCTTCCATCTGTTGGTTCACTACCCAGATGGCTGCAAAGGGCTGGAGCTGGGCTGAGCCAAGGCCAGGTGCCAGGAGCTTCTTCTAGGTTTCCATGCAAGTATGAGGGTCCAAGGACCTGTGCCATCTTCTACTGCTTTCCCAGGCCATAGCAGAGAGCTGGATCCGAAGGAGAGCAGCCAGGACTTGAACCAGCGTCCATATGGGATGCTGGCACTGCAGGGGGTGGCTTTACCTGCCATGCCACAGCACTGGCCCATCCCCAAGAGTTTAAAAATAACCTGTTATTTCATCACCATCCAACCATCCATCCATCCATCCATCTCAAATACTAATGGCTAATACTTATTGAGCATTTACAACATGTGAAGTGTTACTGTGTGCTACATATTAATTCATTAATCACAAGAATCCTGATGAGAGGAATTCTTATTATTCTATTTTACAGAAGAAGCACAGGAGATTAACTGATCCAAAGCCACATGGATGGAGCCAGGATTCAAACTCAGATGTACGACTCCAATAAGTGTCCTTAACTACTAAGCTAATCAGCAGCTGAGAGGAGTGGCTGTATTTCCATTAATTTAGACCAGCTGAATAATTAAATAACTCAAAACCCATTATGATTTTTAATAATGAGATATTATCATTAAAACACTATGAGTTGGGTGGTAGGCAACAAAAATCATCTCTTTTTATTTCTGGTTGAGTAAAGCATGACTTTAAAGAAAATGTGCCACTTTTCTTTGGGTCTCCCCTGTGTGTACCACTTCCCAGTTTTACCTCTTTCTTAATGGCTTTTTCTTCAATCAGTTCTTTTACGTCAGAAATGCCCTTAACTTTAATCCACAGAAACATTCCAGCAGTAGGAACATGCCATTCTGCCAAACCTACAAATGAGAAAAAAACATCTTTCAAGTATACTGGAGTTGGTGCCAAGCATACTATAAAATCACGTAAGTGCAGGAATTATACACTTGTACTTCCAAAAAAGTTTCTTCAGTGATAATAGTTTAAAAGATACATTTTTATGGGCCTTGAAAAATGATGTTCTGGGTTAATTTCAGAGTCAGTGTGCATGAGGGAGGGGGATGAGAGATGCAGATGAAGGCTGAATAGCTCTTCTGTGCACATTTACAATTGCCAGTCTTAGCAGAGAGCAAGAAATCTAGTGCTTCTCTCTCCTTCAGTTAGCTAGAACTAATACCCAAAGGGCTGTTTCCATTTAATTATTTTATTAAAAAATTTAAAAAATTTTGAGAAGCATGGAAGGAGAGAGGGAAAAAGAGTAAGAGAGGGAGAGTGAGAGTGACAGCAAGAGCTGTAAAGAGAGAGAAAAAGTGACTGGGCCTTCGCTGGGACAAAGTTTGGTGCTGGGAACTCAATCCCATGTCTCACATGGGTGACAGGGATCCAATCACTTGAGGCATTACTGCTGTCTCTCCAGCTCTGCATTAGCAGGAAGCTGGAGTAGGGAACTGGAATTAAGAATCAAACCTAGGCCCTCTGACATGGTAATAAGGCATCAAGCAATTTAGCCCATTTCAGTTTTAAAAGAGGATTCTTCAAGTCTTTCTGAAGTTTTACAGCATGTTAATAAATTTGTCATTTATGTAACAATTTAGATGTACAACAGATTATTTTTTTTTATCAGAATGTAAGTACAAGTGCTTAAAACTCAAGAATTCCAGATGCACTTTTAAGCTTTATATTTCACTATTAAGACAGAGCAATCAAGAAGAAAATATAATTAATTTGCTTTTAATTACTATTTTTTGTAAAAGGAAAACTTGCTGTGAGTTAAAACTTTTTCATTAGCACTACTGTGCAAAGTGGTAGGACAGAACTCTTATCCAAAGTTGATTTTTATTTAGAAAGATTTTATAGGGAATGGGATATGACAAAAGTAAGGAATTGATATTTTTATATTATTGATATTCATGTTAAAGACATTTTTAATGATAAACAAGGGTACTTCAGATAGTTCACAGAAAAACAGAAGTAAAAGATGAGTGTATTTTATTGCAAAAAATTTTAAAATCCATGCATAGTTTCTTCAAAATATGCACTTTCCATGGATCTTTTGAAGATTCCTCATATGCATGGAATTGGCACCAAAATAAATTTTTTATTTCTATTTTTTGAACTTTTTCACATATCTTGTAATTAAAACCATTTAATTCATCCAGGTTTCTTCCATAATAAAAAATAAATGTAAAACATTGCCATTAAATTAGCAAAAGAACATTTTTACAAATAAGTAATGTTAATTACAAAGAAAATCATTTGAGAGATCTGTCTTATCTAAAAGGTCTTCAAAGACTTCATGAAAATCACATATTAAGAAAAAATTGCATGGATTTCAAAAATTTTTTGCATCAAAATGAACATCTTTTAATTCCATTTTCATGAACTTTTTGAAGTCTGCTCATATTTATCTTTAGGTAGTTTGGTTAGAAATGGAATATGTTGTTCGGTATTTTCTATCTGGGGCAAATTCTGAAATAACTTGAACATTTTTTGAACATAAGACATTATTTAGCTTTAAGTAAGTTATGGCTGCTTGATTTTTGGCCTTTCTTTTAAATCACAAATTCTTTGTAGCAGATGAGTAGAGATAGGTTACACTGTGCCAGGATTTATAGAGTTACTTGTATAATCATTGAGAGGGTAACATTCTCTTGGCAAGAATACCCTTGAACTGCTGCTTCTCTTCCTCCAGGATTGTTAATAATCTGTGTGTTGGTCACCCTCTCTCATAGGTGCTACTATTTACCACCAGGGCGCATGCACGGTCCACTCACCACTTAACCACTTGTCTGCGGCTGCCAGTGCTGCATCCCTCTGGTTCCTATAGAAATGAATAACCCTAGAAAAAGAAATCAGTGAAAACGATGTCTTCACTATATTGACTGCAGAAACAAGAAAGGCACTAGGCTCTAGGCTGTGAGAATTTGCTTTCTGTCTTGATTAAAATAAGAGAACAGAACATTTCTGTTTAACTTACGTGGTGATAAACTTTTTTAACATTCTGTTTTTTTCCCTTATTGTGGAATAATTAAAAAATGAAAATGAACAGAGCACAGTCTATTTCTGTGTGCATCATGGAACACAGAGGTAGCAGAGTGAGCCTTTGTGTTGGGTTGTCTAAAATAATGACTATCATTTGTGGGTAGAACAGTCAACATCCAAGAAAACACCACTGAAACGATGAATCACTGGTTTGGGAATGAGGACATCTTTCCTTACTTCTAAATGGCCTAGCAGTAACCACAATACCTAACTAAATTAATTCACAACTTGCACTGATATGTGATTATTCAGGCAAATAATATTCTTACTCATCTGAGCCAATTCCTGTGTCATATAACCCTTAGAGTTAGTTATTAAAGAAAATATTTATAAGTCTGATAGTTTACCTTCTAAATTAGTTGAATAAGTGAATCCTAATCTGGTGGGAATTTCAGATTACCTTAGGTGTAAGGTGGATTCCACTTTCAAATCATACCCTGTTTGCTCCTGACAGTCAAGACTTTCTAGGCGGAGAGCTAATGAAATGAACAGATGTCTGACTTCTAACAGATGGTTCCTAGTGTCTATCTTAGGATAGTTAAGATGGAAGAATATTAAGTCAATACTCTGCGTGATCTGTCCTTTGTCCATTGGAATTGCTATTTTGTCCACAAACATTTTAACAAAGGATTCAATACCTCTCTGTGTGAGCCAGGAAACCCTCTTCTCCCCACTGGTGTAAAAGCTGGGATACCATAAGCTAAAAGAAGTAAGAGAATAACTAATGTTATGGTTCATCACCTAAAAATGTTTTTTTCAAACCAAAAAGCAAGTCACTCTTTTTTTAAAAAAATTTTTAATTAATATAGAGAACAGATTTTATGTATTCCAGGTACATGCAGATCACTCCTTTTTAAATTATATTTAAATATACAAATTTCATGTATTTCATATATACAGATTCAAGAATATAGTGATACTTTCCCCCTGTCCTCCCTCCTGCCCCTGCTCCCATCCTTCTTCCTCCTCCCTCTTCTATTCCTACTGTTTTTACAAAGATCTATTTTCAGTATACTTTATACTCGTAAGATTAACTCTATACTAAGTAAATAGCTCAGCAAATAGTATGAAGAAAAGAAAACCACTGTTCCTCAACAGTTGAGACAAGGGCTGTCAACAATCACTGAATTTCAAAATGTCAATTTCAGTCCTATACATTACATTTTAGGTTCTCTATTAATTACCACAGATCAGGGAAAACAAATCACTCTTAATTACACATAAACCACCATGAAAAGACATAACATATATCTACCTTATATGGTCAGTGAATTATAATAAATGTTATTTAATAACAATGACAGACTAGAAAAAAATAACTATTTAGTATTTGTTATGTGCCAGGCACTACTATACTATATATATTATATTGACATATTTAATCTTAATAGCTATCTTATTTTGCAGGTGATTTCTATTTTACTGATGAGAACTTGAGGCACAAAGGTTAACTTCTCTGAAGTCACACAGCCAGGATTCAAGGTCAGACTGTCAGCTCCAGATGCATGCTATTAACTACCAGACTCTACAGCTTCTCTAAACACAAAAATTAAATGGTAGATATATAAACTTAGATAATATATTTGGAGACTTTCTCCAAATAGTTATAGATAGAATTTGTTACCTTTGTAACAAATTCAAAAAACACGAAAAATGTTCTGAGTTTTGTAAAAACATGTGGATATCTGTGTTTAATAGAATGCAATAAATCAGGCCGGCACTGTGGCTCAATAGGCTAATCCTCTGCCTGTGGCGCCGGCACACCAGGTTCTAGTCCTGGTCGTGGCGCCAGATTCTGTCCCGGTTGCTCCTCTTCCAGGCCAGCTCTCTGCTGTGGCCCAGGAGTGCAGTGGAGGATGGCCCAAGTCCTTGGGCCCTGCAACCGTATGGGAGACCAGGAGAAGCACCTGGCTCCTGGCTTCGGATCAGCGTGGTGCACTGGCCGCAGTGGCCATTGGAGGGTGAACCAACGGTAAAGGAAGACCTTTCTCCCTGTCTCTCTCTCTCTCTCACTGTCCACTCTGCCTGTCAAGAACAACAACAAAAAATAGAATGCACTAAATCAAACAGATGATGTACTCAGCGGCACACACTTTTCTAGTAATTTTGAATTCTTTATTGCTTTTAATTAAAGGTAGTCATTTATTCACATTTTATTTGAAAAACAGGTAGAGGGACAGAGAGGAAGTGGAAAGGGGAGAGGGAGAAAAAAGCAAGGGGGAGAAAGAGACAGATCTTCCATCTATTGGTTCGGTTCGCTTTCCAAATTCCTGCAATAGGCAAGGCTTGGCCAGGCTGAAGCTGGCAGCCAGAACTCCACCAGGGTCTCCCACGTGGGTGACAGGGACCCAAGCACTTGATTCATCACTTGCTGCATTAACAAAAGCTGGACTGGAATTGGAGGAATAAGTCACCTCCATATGGATTGCGGGCATTCCAGTCAGTGACTTCAGCACGGAATCAAATGCCTGACCCTGAGATCTTATAAAACAATTGAGCTGTGATAGCTATCCAATAATTTCTCAACACTTCTGAGGAAACATATACATTCTTCAAAATTAGCTTTACTTTAATAAAAATGCATTCCAACCAGTGTTTCTGGAGAGGATAGCACATGTGCAATGAAGGCAAGAAATCAATCACTACATAGATTTGGAATCCTTGCTCTTGTTTTAGATTCCAAGACAACAACAGCAAAGTTCATACTACTTCACCAAGGTCAGTTCCATTTGATTCAGCTTCACAACATTTTTACGGAGTTCCTAGGATAGATGCTAGGGACATGGAGTGAATAAGATACTCTGACCCTTAAGAAGTTTGGATTAGGCTGCACAGTAACACCAGTTAATCCAATTCTCATTTGTCTTTTAGAGTAAACACCTGTAGCATTTGGTGTATTATATTGGAACTGGGGACTCAATATTGGAGATTCAATATTGGTGATACAATTTTGGTGATTCAATACTGGTGATTTTCACCTTAACTGAATCTTACTTGCCAACATCTACTTTTTATTCTGATGTGATTTTTAAAAATGCCTATTTCCTAAATTGTCCTTACCTGTGTAAAAGTGCTGGTGTGCAATGACGACACTTGGGTGTGTAAAACAACTCTTTCAATCAAGGGTTTGGGGCCAGTTAGAAACCCTACTCTCAACCTGCACAAAAAAGAAAAGGCACAAAACCAATCCCATAGTCACAATTAATACATATCATCTTATTGACTCAGCTGGGAAGAGTGTGGTGGCATGGGCACAAATGCATTGAGACAATTGAAAAATTCTAATAAAACACTTCAAACATAAATTTAAATTTAAGTGTACATTTAAAATATAATGCAAGTCAGATCAAGCTTTTTCAAAAGTGCTTTTTCATATGTGATACCACAACTCTGACCAGACCCTATATTTAGATTAACGGCCAAGCATCTTTGACTGCTGGAAATGAGTAAAGAGAGAAAAGGCCTGTATTCATATTCATAATCAAACTGGTATTTTCAGGCCAGTGGAAGAGAAGCAACTTACATGAAAAGAACTTAGACACATGGGGTCTTACCCAGAGGACAGGACTTTTGATAAAGAATCAGCTCTGATGACACGCCCATCAACATCCATGGAAAGAAATGTTGGTGCCCGGGACTTAAAATGAAAAACAAAACAAAAATAATAATAATAAAACCGTTTGAGAACTTAGTTCCTGTATGATTACTGTACGTAGAACATGAGGGCATGAGCTTGGATAGCAGTAGCACAAGTCTCTCTTACCTTTATCTCAACCCTTTAACATGGAATACAAAACAGAGGTGCATGCTCTTAAGTAACATTCGCCTGTCTTCATGGCTTTTCTGCCAAACACACACACAGGCCTTCTTCATTTGCTCAAGATACCATTATTATAAATTTAGAGAAACCTCAAACAGGTCCTCCTTGCCTCGAAGGGCAGAAAACCAGAAAAAATAGATTTAGAGAAAGAACTTAGGAACAACTATTTGGCACAAGATAAAAATGAAGAGGGCCAGCAGCATTTAGGCTTGTGTAGAGTAAGAATGAAGACCTTTAGATTTAACTAGAGATAAAAAAGATGAGAATGAAGATGAGAAATTTTGTCAGCACGAACTATGGATGTCAATATTTACAAGTACTCTCACATAGAGAATGAAGATGAGAAATTTTGTCAGCACGAACTATGGATGTCAATATTTACAAGTACTCTCACATAGAGAAAAGGGGTCATGCCAGAGTGTGGTAGGTAGGCAGAGTGATGTTCTTGTAAGCTCTATAGAGAAAACAGAAAACTTTTCTTTCTTCTCAGTAGACTTAATGGTGGGGGGGTGGGAGAAGAGGAAAATCCAAGTACATGTTCTCTGTGGCTTTGTGATCAAATAAAGAATCTTATTGGATTTTGAGGACTCAGACTTTGGTTGTCTGTACCACTCCACTGTCTATCAGAGAACAGTCATCATGAAAAGTGGCATACAAGTATAGTGAGAATGAATATAAATTCCATTATTCTTCAGGTATGATCCAGGGACACAATGACCAAGATGTCACACCTGTGGTTTGCTGCTTGTGTCCATAATGGACATCACTGACTGAGCACAGCTGTCTGTGTCCTGCAGCTTCATCCTTCTGAGCCGTCATTCTAGTCAGCCTCTATCAAGAGAGTGACGTTGACACCCAACATGAAACCTACTTGAGAGTCACAGTTAAAGATGGCCATCGGCCTAACTTTGCCTGTCCGCATGCATGGCATTGACAACGAGCTACTATTACGAAGCTAAGTAATTTCTAGAAGAGGAGTAATACCAAAAAATGAAAAGTACTAACTCTATGATAAAATTGGAAGACTAAAGATTAAAGTTGTTGGGGCCAGCACTGTGGCGTAGTGGGTTAAGCCGCTGCCTGCAGTGCCAGCATCCCATATGGGCACAGGTTTGAGACCCAGCTGCTCCACTTCTGATCCAGCTCTCTGCTATAGCCTGGGAAAGCAGTGGAAGATGGCCCAAGTACTTGGGCCCCTGCACTTGCGTGGGAGACCCAGAGGAGGCTCCTGGCTCCTGGCTTTGGACTGGCGCAGCTCCGGCTGTTGAGGCCAACTGGGGAGTGAACCAATGGATGAAGATGTCTCTCTCTGCCTCGCTTTTTCTTTCTGTGTAACTCTCAAATAAATCTTTTAAAAAAAAATTAAAGTTGTGAAACTGATTAGCTTTGATTTAGCAGCCAGGCTAATTATCAAATGCATGGCAATAAGTTACAATACCCTATCTTCTAATAGTGAAATATGTTAATATCATTACCTACCTTGTTGAACTGGAGAAAATAGTAAGGATCATCTTCTATTATGAGGAAATCATATTTTCTTGCGAGCTAAAATATTAAAGTAATATGTTTATTTTAAAGGGCTTTCCAAAATTAAAACAATTTGGAATCATAAGTATATATACTCATTTATTCAAGAAACTACAGAATCTCTCTTGTCTTAGTGAGCATAAAGAAATGAAAAGGAACTAAAGATTCTTGCTCCCATGGAACTTACATTCTTGTGGGAAAGACAGAATATAAATAATATGGATAACAAACAAAAGTAGTCCTCGGTGAGTATTTGGCCCAGCAGTTAAGACGCTGCTTGGGATGGCTGTGTCCCATATCAGAGCACCTGGGTAAAGTTTAGCCTCTGCCCAGAACTTCTGCTTCCTATTCGTGCACACAATGGGAGGGGGAGAGGATGGCTCAAGTAGTTGAGTCCTTGCCACCTCTGTGGGAGACCTGAACTGAGTTCCTGGCTTCTGGCTTTGTCCTGGCCCAGTCCTGGCTGTTGAGGGCATTGGAGTAAACTAGCAGATGGGAGATCTCTGTGTTTCTCTCCACATCTCACATAAATAAAAAAAAAAAATCTGTTAGATGGAGAGGTTATTTACGTGCTTAGCAGAGCATTCCAATGGATCCTTTTTAGGAGGGACAGGAATAGAAGAGTTACTTTAGGTTAATCATTGAGCAGTCCTTCCTGACAGGGCCTCAGAGGGAGTCAGATGTGCAAATACTAAGAAAGAAGATTCTGGACTACGTAAGGGATGAGTGACAGCAAAGGCCGTTTGGTGAGCAAACAACTTGATGTGTTTAAGGAATAGAAAGAAAGCTAGTGTGGCTACAGCAAGAAGGATGATTAAGATTTGTTAATGTTTTTCATGTAAAACAAAACTGATCTTCTGCAAAAAAAAAAAAAAAAAGAAATTATCAATTCCCAACTTGACTCTCACTGGGATTAAACATGACAATAGGTCTGATCTGATTTCATCATCATTTTAAAAAAATCATCTATTATTTTTCACTTTATGTTTCTGTGTGGGAGCAAACTGTTGAAATCCTTACTTAATGTATACTAAGCTGATCTTCTGTATATTAAGATAATCGAAAATGAATCTTGATGTGAATGGAAGGGGAGAGGGAGTGGGAAAGGGGAGGGTTGTGGGTGGGAGGGACGGTATGGGGGGGAAGCCATTGTAATCCATAAGTCGTACTTTGGAAATTTATATTCATTAAATAAAAGTTAAAAAAAAAAGAATACAAAAAAAATTCAACAACAAAAAATAATCCAACTGGCACTGGCATTGTGGCACAGTGGGCCAAGCCACTGCCTGCAATGCTGGCATCCTATATAGGTGCCATCTGAGACCCAGCTGCTTTACTTCTGATCCAGCTCCCAGCTAATGTGCCTGGGAAACCAGCACAAGATAGCCCAAGTACTTGGGCCCTGTCACTCACATGGAAGACTCAGATGAAGCTCCTGGCTCCTGGCTTCAGCCTGGCCCAGCTCGAGCCATTGAGCCGTTTGGGGAGTGAACTAGTGGATGGAAGATCTCTGAACCTCCGTCTCTGTAATCTGACTTTCAAAGAAATAAAATAAATCTTAAAAAAAAAAAAACAATTAAAAAGTAGACAAAGGATCTGAACTGACATTTCTCGAATGAAGAAATACAGGGCCCTGAGCTGTGGTGTAGTGGGTAAAGCCGCCGCCTGCAGTACATCCCATATGGGCACTGGTTCGAGCCCCAGCTGCTCCACTTCTGATCCATCTCTCTGCTATGGCCTGGGAAAGCAGTGGAAGAAGGCCCAAGTCCTAGTGTCCCTGCACCTGCGTGGGAGACCTGAAAGAGCTCCTGGCTCCTAGCTTCAGATTGGCTCGGTCTGCCCATCTGGGGAGTGAACAAGAGGATGGAAGACCTCTCTTTCTGTCTCTCTCTCTCTCTCTCTCGGCCTCGGCCTCGGCCTCTCTGTAACTCTGCCATTCAAATAAATAAGTAAACTTTTTTAAAAAAAGAATACATATGGCCAACAAATATATGAAAAAAATGCTCAATATTATTAGATATCAGGGAAATGCAAATCAAAATCAAAACTACAATGAGATATCACCTCACTCCAATTATAATGACTATAATTAAAAAGACTAAAATCAACAAATGTGGGTGAGGATGTAGAGAAAAAGGAGCACTCATACACTGTTGGTGGGACTGCAAAGCAGTGTAGCAATTATGGAGAACAGTATGAAAGTTCTTCACAAAACAAAAAGTAGTTCTACCATCTGACCCAGCTGTTCCACTTCTGAGTGTACACACAAAGGAGATCAGCATATGAAAAATACTTGCTCTCCCATGTTCACTGTAGCACAATTCACAATAGCAGAGGTATAGAATCAACTTTGGTGCCTATCAATGTTAAAGAAAATGTGTTTTATGTACACATGGAGTATTATTCAGCCACAAAGAATGAAATTCTGTCATTTGTAGTCAAATGGATGGAATTGGAGGACATTATGTTAAATGAAAGAAGCCAGGCATAGAGAGACAAATATGTATATTCTCACAAGTGGTAGGTAAAGAAAAGGAAAGCTGATCTGAATTTAGACTAGTAATTACTAGAGGTTGGGAAATAGTGGAGATACAGGGAAGGTGGATAACAGGCAAAAAACAGATAGAAGGAACATGTTCTAGTGTTCCACACTGGGGGGACTACATTTCAAAATAACCCATCACTTACGATATTACTTTCATATTTTATGAAGAACTGAAGAGAGGAGTTCAAAGATTTCAAACATAAATAAATGACAGGAAGGGAATGCTGTTTATTTTAAATGCCTTCTAAATGTCTTAAAATATCATAATACCATAAATCTAGGCCGGCGCTGTGGCTCACTAGGCTAATCCTCTGCCTAGCGGCGCCGGCACACCGGGTTCTAGTCCCAGTCGGGGCGCCGGATTCTGTCCCGGTTGTCCCTCTTCCAGGCCAGCTCTCTGCTGTGGCCAGGGAGTACAGTGGAGGATGGCCCAGGTGCTTGGGCCCTGCACCCCAGGGGAGACCAGGAAAAGCACCTGGCTCCTGGCTCCTGCCATCGGATCAGCGCGGTGCGCCGGCCGCAGCGCGCCGGCCGCGGCGGCCATTGGAGGGTGAACCAACGGCAAAGGAAGACCTTTCTCTCTGTCTCTCTCTCTCACTGTCCACTCTGCCTGTCAAAAAAAAAAAAAAAAAGTATCATAATACCATAAATCTGTATACTAATTACATATTGCTCAAGAAAATTTATAAAACCTTTGTGGAATGTAAAAAGACTTAAAAAATAAATAAAAGGACTTAGCTTTGCAAAACAGATCAAGGCATTGGGACTTTATTTTCATTGCAGTGGGAAGCCACCAGGGCTCCACGAACCTGCTTTATGTTGATACTGCAACAGGGGAGAGGCATGACTGGCTGCTTTGTGAGGAATGACTGGGGAGAGACCACGTGTGAAGCAGCAGGTGCAGTGAAGAAGTCCTTGTAAAGGTTCTATGATAGCAGTGGGGAGGTGACTTGGCAAATCGGGTCAGTAATGGTAGCAGAGAATGGGCAGGTTCAGATAAACATGGTGGTAGTGGTGGTGGTGGTGGGGTCCACATCACAGACTGGATGAGGGAAGGAGAGAAGGGAAGGGGAGGAATAAAGGTTAATAGTTCATGGTTATAGTATTTATGGAGATGGAATGCATGAGTGGTTGTAGATGAGATGTCTGGGGAAAATCAGGAGTTGTACTTTGGCCATTGTTCATGTTAAGTCTGAATGCCTATTTGACATCCATGTAGAGGTGTCCAGTAGAAATTTGGATACAAGTCTGGAGTTTGAGGGAAGAGGGAGGGGGGGTCTAGGCAACATGGGAGTCATCACACACAGAATGGGACTGACTGCAAGGAACTGGATGAGGCTGTTTGGGGCAAGTGTGTAAATAGAGTAGGGAACAGAACTCTGGACAGAGCCCAGGATGGTATTCAAAATAATAAGACAGTATTTTGAAACTTTGTATTTTCTAAGTAAAAGAAACTGGTTATAATCTCTCTTATGATTCCAGTGCACATGATTTAATTCTCTGTTTTAACATAGTTTTGGCACTATGTTCTAACAGTTCTAAAGGATTGTTTGGAGTTAAAAGGTTAGGGAGCACTGTCAGGTACATAAAAGACTTTAGGAAAGTCGTATTTCTCTTCTTTTTCAGAGATTTCTGTTGAGCTCAATAAATGTTTGAAACTTAAAAAAATTTACAGTGAAAAGCTAGGTAGGTACTTAAAAGAGACTTTACAAAATAGGAGGCTTGCCTCTTATATTTAGAGAATTCTTAGTAACATGAAATGACAAGAGGGAGGTAGAGAGACAAGTTAACAACACAAATATGAAATAATACAAATCAAACTTGAGGTCAGATATTAAATAATCTCATAAAATTTAACATCACAACAAGCATATTGTTTCGTTTCTAGTAAAACACCAATTAAAAGAAAATAATTAACAAAGGAAGCAGTAACTTACTATGTCTAAATTTATTGGGTCCTTGGCATATATGACTTCCTTTTATTAATAATTACCTTCTTTGAAAATAGGAGCCTAATAAGTAAGGGAACTTGCACAGTATTCTGAAAGGTCAAGAAGCAGCAGGAAGGTAACCACCTCACCCATTCTTTGCAAATACCTCATAGATTTCCTTTTTGCGGTCACTTGTTAATGAGTTTCCAGCAGGGTTGTTGCCATTTGGGACCGTATAAAGGAACTTGGGAGTGTTCTTCTTAGGGTCCTTTGAATCTTCCGGTTCCCATCTGGAAAGGACTTCTCTGAGGGAGTCTGGGATGATCCCGTATTCATCACTGGCAACATTAATCATGTTGCAGCCCAGGGGCTGCAGCTGTTGAGTACAAAAAGGAAAGCCCGAGTCAGACATGAATGCATGTTAAGTGCCACTGAGCTTTGGTTTAACACCAACCAACGTTACAGCTGATCCCCTTAGATCCATAAACCTGCACTCAAATCAATGCTCCAGTGGGCTTAAGTTGTTTATTTTCATTCTAAGGTTTCCCTGGGGTGGTTTCCGTGATTGTTCAAAAATATCTCTTGTCCTTTCTGAGGGGAAAGACTGTACTTTCTTGTCCCATTTAAAAAAAAATTTTAATTAATTTATCTGAAAGGCAGAGTGACAGAGACATAGAGATCATTCATCTACTGACTTTGCAAACACCAACAACAGCTGGGGTTGTGGCAGCCTGAAACCAGGAGCCAGGAACACTATCTGGGTCTCTCACACTAGAGACACAAACCCAAGTATCTGGGCCATCATCTGCTGCCTCTTAGGTGCACAACAGGAAGCTGGATTGGAAGTAGAGTAGCTGGGACTTGAACTAGGCATTCAGATATGGGATGTGGGCATCCAAAGTGGCACCTTATCTTGCTGTTCCACAAAGACTGCCCTCTTGTCCCATTTATACTGGGTTTGTCCATGTGTCTTGCTCTGGCTAATAAACTGTGTGCGGAAGTGTCACATAATTCTGATGTGTGTTCCTTTGAAACAGAGCTTTAACATCCAACTTGTGGTTCTCTGGGCCTCTTTTCCGTCTGCTGTGAGATGGGCAACCTTCCAGACTGGGGCTGCTTCTGTGAATCTAAGGCTTGGAGTAAAGATGCCATGGAGCCATGGTGGTCTTGGGGTGGGCACACAGAGTAAAAGACAGAAACCTCTGTGGTGGCAAGCTACTGAGATACTGAGATCATTTGTTCTACAGCTGATCTGGCCCTTCAGACTGAATACCTTTATGATTATAATTGGCATTGGTTTACAAAGTGGATAACTCTGAGAGCATGCATCGATGGGCAGCACTTCACCTCCTCCGTCAGAGAGGTTGATGGTTACAAAATCCTTATACTGGTTTGAGGTTGTTTCCCATCAAAGTCCACTCTTTAGTTCTATTAATTTAAGGACATGGGGACAGATGAATAGAATTCTTCTGTCACATGGCTAACTTTTATATACTTAAGGACAATTCTGTGTTTGTTAAGTCTCCTTCCTTTGGGAAAAACAACTACAATTCTTAGAAACATCCATTATGTGGTGTGGTTTCCAGCTCCCTATTCATTCTGACTATGCTTCTCTGAATGGGCTCACTTGCGGACATTTCCATCCTAAAGCAGAGAGCCCAAAAGAAACCCAGTTCTCACCAGTGTTCTGACAGTGCACAGCACACTCAGGAACTCAGCTTCCTCATTCAGGATATTATAGTTCTGTTGACTTAACACTAACGTGATAGTCCTAGTTAACACCACAGTAGTTTAAAACTTTATTAAATTTATATGTAACATGGTTATACTTATGCATATGGTAATAAAAGATGGAAATTAAAATATATGTAAAATGTAAATTAAGTCACATTTCAAGAAAAAAATTAAGAAAATTGGACGTGATTTTTACAACCTACTTTTAGTACCTATACATGCTGGTGGAACTTTGACCAAGTAGTTAAGATGCCCACATTCCTTACTGGACTGCCAGGATTCCTGTCCCAATTCCTACAAGTCATCACCCAGGAGGCAGCAGGTCATGGCTCCAGCAGCTGAGTCCCTTCCATCCCCATGGGATAACTGGGTTGAGTTCCCGGTTTCCAGCTTCAGCCTGGCCTGATCCTGGCTGTTGTGGACATTTGGGGAGTGGACCAGTGGGCCCTATGTCTGTTTCATCTCATACAATTACCTGATTTTGAATATATCATTCAAGATGCTATTGACAAGGGCCGGCGCCGCGGCTTACTAGGTTAATCCTCCGCCTTGTGGCGCTGGCACACCGGGTTCTAGTTCCGGTCGGGGCTGCGGATTCTGTCCCGGTTGCCTCTCTTCCAGGCCAGCTCTCTGCTGTGGCCAGGGAGTGCAGTGGAGGATGGCCCAAGTGCTTGGGCCCTGCACCCCATGGGAGACCAGGAGAAGCACCTGGCTCCTGCCATCAGATCAGCGCGGTGCGCCGGCTGCAGCGCACTGGCCGCGGCGGCCATTGGAGGGTGAACCAACGGCAAAGGAAGACCTTTCTCTCTGTCTCTCTCTCTCTCTCACTGTCCACTCTGCCTGTCAAAAAAAAAAAAAAAAAAAAAAAAGATGCTATTGACAGATGAAAGATGTCATTTTATTTTCAATGGACAGATAATTGTAAAGGTAGAATGTTTTTCTTTTCTTATTTATTACGAGGTGCCTTTTGTAAAAGTGTATACTCACAGCTTGAAGTGTTCCTGCATAAATAGGTTCATTTAGGAGGATATTATCTCCAGGGTTAATGATCATTTCAAATACCTAATAAAAGAAGCACAGGTTAGGTGGGACAATATAATTTCATTCTCAGAACCCCCTTCTCAAGCCCCAGTTCTGGGCATTCTAGAGTAGGAGACAGCAAGTCTCTGCTTTTACAGCGAGAAAGCCGTCACAGACAATGTAGAAATAAATGGGTGTCACAGAGCCCTAACATAGCTTTATTTACAAAATTAGATGAAGTGCTGAATTCAGCTTTCAAGTCATTGTCTGCCAACCTCTGTGCTAGGATAAGATGAAAAAGAAAATAACTGGTGTGATTCCTAAAATTCATTTATTCTTTTCAATGCTTCTTTGAAAATATATTAAATGGGCCGACGCCGAGGCTCACTTGGCTAATCCTCCACCTGCGGCACTGGCACACCAGGTTCTAGTCCCGGTTGGGGTGCCAGATTCTGTCCCGGTTGCTTCTCTTCCAGTCCAGCTCTCTGCTCCCGGGAGGGCAGTGGAGAATGGCCCAAGTCCTTGGGTCCTGCACTCGCATGGGAGACCAGGAGGAAGCACCTGGCTCCTGGCTTTGGATTGGCGCAGTGTGCCGCCGCAGCCCGCCGGCTGCAGCGGCCATTGTGGGGTGAACCAACGGAGGGAAGACCTTTCTCTCTGTCTCTCTCTCTCACTGTCCACTCTGCCTGTAAAAAAAAAAATATATTAAATGCCCCTATGAGTCAGGCCTGTTCAAAATACAGTGCAAAATGGCATGGTTCTTACTCTCATAAAGCTGCCAGTTCACTGGGAAAGCTAGCAACTTATCAAATAACTGCCCAAATAAGGATATAAAAAATTAAAAGTAGTAGTGAGTGTGATTAACTGAAGAGGCACAAAGTTGTAAAAGCTCATTGTAGGAGACAATGGGAAGTTGGGGAATTCAGAGAAGGCTTCCTTGTGGAAGTGATGAGTTAGTATTGGGGGTGGCAACACGCACATTTGAGAAAATGGAAAAAAAAATCTGGGGACTGAGGTGAGTGTAAAGCAGATAGTGAATGACATCAGAGATATGGGCAGACAGTACACCATGCTAGGTGTCTGGGCCAAGGAAGATAAGTATCAATTTTAAGAAAGGGTAGGGAGGAAGAGTCACACTATCAGATATGTATTTTGGAAAGATCAATCTGGCTGTAGGATGAGTATCTTGGGAAGAGCTTGGGAAGTTTTTAGTTTGGGAAGTTATGCTTCAGTTCTGGGACAGCTTAGGATAATATGAAGTACAGTGATTGAATTAAACAGAAGAACTGGAGATGTTTAGGAAATAAAAACCAACAGAGCTTGATTATGGACTATCCAGGAGTTAAGGAAGAGGTCTATAAAATGGCTCCTGGATTTCTGGCTGCAGAACTACAGACACGGTGGCAGTGGTGCCCTTCATGGAAACACAGAGCCAATGAATTATGCATATCTGAGTGAGATGATGAGGAGCTGTTTTGGTTTAGGTACCTTTGAAAACAGTCTGCAATGATTTCAGGGGGCAGAGGGACACATGGAAGGAGCTTGGGAGTTACTAGCACTCAGATACCATGTGGGTGAGAATGGAGGCACCCAGTGAATGTGTACAGACCCAGGAAATAAGATGCTCAAGGACTGAGGCTTAAGGAGCCCCAATAAATAATGACCAGGTGGAAGAGGACACTGCAAATAGGCAGGGCAAGTGGGCTGGAGGAGACCCCCACCAGGGGTACAGGGAGAGCCAGGGAGAGTGCTTCAGAAAGGAGTGGGAGGATGGCAGTTACCAGATCTACAGAAATCAAGGAAGACGAGGTTTGACAAATCTTAGGACATTTTATGAACGATATGATACCTACTGATGTTAGACTCAGGAAACTGAACTTTCCAGTCTAAATCAAAGGAATCTATTAGGACTAAATTATACATACATCAAAATATATTCCTCCTTTCCCTTGTGAAAACCATAATCCCCAGTTCAAGCCCTTCTTTCTATCATTTTTTTCAACTTATATTTATTTTTATTTAATGAATATAAATTTCCAAAGTACAGCTTATGGATTACAACGGCTTCCCCCCCATAACGTCCCTCCCACCCACAACCCTCCCCTTTCCCACTCCCTCTCCCCTTCCATTCACATCAGGATTCATTTTCAATTCTCTTTATATACAGAAGATCAGTTTAGCATACATTAAGTAAAGATTTCAACAGTTTGCTCCCACACAGAAACATAAAGTGAAAAATACTGTTTGAGTACTAGTTATAGCATTAAATCTCAATGTACAGCACACTAAGGACAAAGATCCTACATGAGGAGTAAGTGCACAGTGACTCCTGTTGCTGACTTCACAAATTGACACTCTTGTTTATGGCATCAGTAATCACCCTAGGCTCTTGTCATGAGCTGCCAAGGTTATGGAAGCCCCCTGGGTTCACTGACTCTGATCATATTTAGACAAGGCCATGATCAAAGTGGAAGTTCTCTCCTCCCTTCAGAGAAAGGTACCTCCTTCTTTGATGACCCATTCTTTCCACTGGGATCTCACTTGCGGAGATCCTTCATATAGGTTCCCCCCCCCCCCCCAGAGTGTCTTGGCTTTCCATGCCTGAAATACTCTCATGGGCTTTTCAGCTGGGTCCGCATGCCTTGAGGGCTGATTCTGAGGCCAGAGTGCTGTTTAAGACATCTGCCATTCTATGGGTCTGCTGTGTATCTCACTTCCCATGTTGGATCGTTCTCTCCCTTTTTTATTCTATCAGCTAGTATTTGTAGACACTATTCTTGTTTATGTGATCCCTTTGGTTCTTAGTCCTATCATTATGATCAATTGTGAACTGAAACTGATCACTGGGACTAGTGAGATGGCACTGGTACATGCCACCTTGATGGGATTGAATTGGAATCCCCTGGTATGTTTCTAACTCTACCGTTTGAGGTAAGTCAGCTTGAGCATGTCCCGAATTGCACATCTCTTCCCTCTCTTATTCCCACTCTTACATTTAACAGCAATCACTTTTCAGTTAAGTTTCAGCACTTAAGAATAATTGTGCATTGATTACAGTATTCAACCAAAAGTATTAAGTAGAACAAACAAAAAAATACTAAGAGGGATAACATAATAAGTTGTTCATCAATAATCAGGGCGAGGGCTGATCAAGTCACCGTTTCTCATAGTATTCATTTCACTTTAACAGGTTTCCTTTTTGGTGCTCAGTTAGTTGTCACCTATCAGGGAGAACATGTGGTATTTGTCCCTTTGGGATTGGCTTATTTCACTCAGCATAATGTTTTCCAAATTCCTAACAGGGATCACTTTTCAGTTAAAATTTAAACCCCTAACCACCTACATCTCACAACAAACAGGGAGCACAATAATCAGTTGGGACAGAAGATCTGGCTTTGGTTCCCCAACTGGACCTATCATATTCAATTCATATTTTCTTTATGAGCTTTTGCATCTTACAACAAACAGTACCCTCTGAAAATTTCCTAACTGGCTCAGGCTTTACAGGCTATCCTGGGATCCGAGAAATCACTTGGGTGGCATGTGCATTACCAATAGATCAAAGCAAACCTAATCATATATATTTTCTATGTTGGTTAGGGCTATACACATGTCAAATATGCTTAATTAAAAGGGACGGCTGTTTACCAGCTGGGAGCATTGTCTAATAGATGTTGACAGAAACACAGGGACCTAAAATACCATCTGTGACAGATGAAATAATAACTAGATTCCTATTAAGGCTCTGTAATAAAATGTGCATGTCTTATTGATTAAATTATTGATGCATTTGGCCAGTTATGCTATCTTCCTTCTTTGATATCACTGCTGTTGTGACAACTAAAGAAGAAATTGTTTTGAGCGTTGTCCTGTAAGAAAAGCTCATAGGATCCCTCCCTATGAAAAACATTTCATAGAAAGAGACTTTGAAAATATCAATCCATTGAGTCACATATAATTCTCTTCAAGCAAAAACCCAAACAATCTCTTCTCTTTTCATAATTAAATGGAAAAAGAAGAAACTTTTTCCTTTCTTTTTTTTTTTTTTTGACAGGCAGAGTCAGACAGTGAGAGAGAGAGAGAGAGACAGAGAGAAAGGTCTTCCTTCTGTTGGTTCAGCCCCCAAATGGCCGCTGCGGCCAGTGCACTGCGCCGATTTGAAGCCAGGAGCCAGGTGCCTCCTCCTGGTCTCCCATGTGGGTGCAGGGCCCAAGCACTTGGGCCATCCTCCACTGCCCTCCCAGGCCACAGCAGAGAGCTGGACTGGAAGAGGAGCAACTGGGACAGAATCCGGCGCCCCAACCAGAACTAGAACCTGGGGTGCCGGTGCCACAGGTAGAGGCCAAGTGAGCTGTGGCGCCGTCCAGAAACGTTTTTCAATTTCAGAAAATCTTTAAAAAATATTTCTAGGCATACAAACAATTATTGTGTAATTTAATTAAAATCCATTAATGGAAGTGAGATTATAGTTTTTACATTTCTACTAAAGAAAAAAGAAAGCTACTCTTATTACTCTTTAAATAACAGTCATATTTTAATCTAGATGTGAAGTGAATACAAAGAATTCCATTTTGTCTTTGCATTCCCATTTATAATTCTAAGTGAAGACAAGAAAGACAACCAATAATCCACAAAATGTGATCCTCTTGTGGTTCAGTGAGAACACATTTAATTCTTCATGTAGGTTACCTTGTCCTTTCAGTCTTACCTTACAAAGCCCATCTTGGCTACCAGATGTAACACAGATATCCATCTGTCCTTGATCAGGTGGATAGTGGATGGTGGGAGGACTGTGCAATTTAACTTGGAATTGTTTTAGCCAGGACAAAAGCTCTGGAATTCTAAAGGATAAAGTGTGTTTTTAATTTTGTAGAAGTAAAAAAATCGTAGTAATAGTAGACATGGAGTGAACTTGACATTTTGAGAATCAATGATTGTTTACAGACCTTGTCTCTATTGTTGAGGAACAGTGTTTGTGTCCTTCATACTATTTGTTTAACTCTTTACTTAGTGTAGGGTTAATTTTATGAGTATAAAGTAAACTGAAAATAGATTTTTATAAAAATTAATTGTAAGAATAGGAGAGGGAGAAAGAAGGCTGGGAGTGTGGGCAGAAGGTACAGTAGGGTGGGAAATATCACTATGTTCCTATGAAAGACATGAAATTTAAAAAAAAATTCCCAAAAGATAAAAATAGACATGAAGTAAATGGTAGTTTTATAACAAGTATTTTATACATTCAATGTAAAAGTCTTCAAATGCCTCTGTCAGTATTAATAGTCCCATTAAAATTTTTACTTATTTATTTGGGAGACAGACACAGAGAAACACACACACACACACGGGGTGGGGAGGGGAGGTGGGGAAGAAGAGAGACAGATAAAGAACTCCCATCTTCTGCTCCCTTCCTCAAATGGCTGCAATGGGTGAAGCTGCGCCAGGTTGACAGCCAGGAGCCCAGGGAACTCAATCTAGATCTTTCTGGAGATTAGGAAATTCACATAAAATCAGTCATTTAATCAATCAATGAGCTGAGATTTGAAGCTATAATCTTTCTTCTTCCAAAGCCTGAGGTTCTGTTTTATGCTAGAGCATTCAATGAGTAATTGATTTTGTTCTTCAGGAGATATCTGTAGGCTACCTAGAAGTTCAGGCTCAGTAAGTTCTTTGTATCATGGAGAGAAAAGCCCAAACACATATTACTTACATATAACATTATTTCAATATACTTTTCAATCATAGAAAAAAGATTTGAATTAAGTATAATTTATAGGCTCTCCATAAATATTTACCATTCAAAGATAATCAGCTAAATAAGGTTTTAAGGTATGTGTTTTAGCTTGCCTTGAAGGAATTAAAGACAGTTGAACCTATGAGAACAATATACTTGCATATCTATTTAGAAAGGGTTATTAGTTATTAATAATTATTAGAAAATTGCCCAGGAACATTAAATTGCTGCTTCCTTAGTCCTCCCTTCTCCCAAAATACTTCTCACCTCACTGGCTTCTCATTTTTTTCACTCAGCTCAAATGGCACTTCCTTCCTGAGGTGCTCGCTCTCTCTCTCTGCCTTTCAAGTTGATAAAAATAGATACGCCTTTCAAGTAGATAAAAATAGATACATATTTTTGGCCGGCGCCGAGGCTCACTAGGCTAATCCTCCGTCTTGCGGGGCCGGCACACCGGGTTCTAGTCCCGGTCGGGGCGCCGGATTCTGTCCCGGTTGCCCCTCTTCCAGGCCAGCTCTCTGCTGTGGCCAGGGAGTGCAGTGGAGGATGGCCCAAGTACTTGGGCCCTACACCCCATGGGAGACCAGGATAAGTACCTGGCTCCTGCCATCGGATCAGTGCGGTGCGCTGGCCACGGTGGCCATTGGAGGGTGAACCAATGGCAAAAGGAAGACCTTTCTCTCTGTCTCTCTCTCTCTCTCACTGTCCACTCTGCCTGTAAAAAAAAAAAAAAAGATACATATTTTTTAAAAAGGAGTATTTATTCTTAAAACTCCCCAGTGACTGTATTTTCATCTTATGTAACTGAGAGAGAGAGAGAGAGAGAGAAAGAAAGAGATCTTCCATCTGCAGGTTCACTCCCCAAATGTCTGTAATAGCCAGGCCTGGGCCAGGCTGAAACCAGGAATCCAAAACTCCATCTGGGTCTCCCATGTTGGGGGCAGGTACTTAAGTACTTGAGTCATCTGCTGCCTCTCAGGATGCATTCGCAGGAAGCTGGATTGGAAGCACAGCATCAGGGATTTGAAGCAGCACTCTGATATGGGATGTAGGCATCCCAAAAAAGTGGAAACTCAACCCGCCATACCACAATGCCTGACCTAATATCCTTTTTGCTCTTAATCATTCTTTGAAAACTCTTTCCTTAAACCTAACCATTGAACACTCAGTTTAAAAAGATACAAGTCCCTTTACCAGTAGCCTTAGAATACTGTTCATGAAAATGACCCAAAGAAATTGTTGATAACCTACCCAGCACTTGGAGAATACTGAAGTGCTCTCTTCATCATCTCTTCTCCAAATTGGATGGTCATTCCATTTTCTACAGTGATAACAGCGCTCTTAAAGGGGAACGTGCTTGGATTTGGGTATCCAGGAGCCAAGGAGATGAGTGATTTTGTTGCCTTGGCTATTACATCAGCTATAATAAACATGAGAGAAAAGAAATACTTTCTTTGAGGATTTTTATAAGCAGAGACACTTGATTACAGTCAACTACGTATAAAGTTTAACAACGGCTATGATGGACTGTGCAACTATCTGAATGTTGGTGTTCCCCAAATCCACATGTTGGAACTAACACCCAACGTCATAGCATGAGGGGGTGGGACCTTTAGGAGGGCTCTGCCCTCATGAATGGGATGAATATCCTTAAAAAGAGATCCGAGGGAGTGTGTATGCTCCTTTCCGCCCGTGACGACCCCAGGTCGCTCCCTTTGTACATGAGGACAAAGCAACAAGGCTCTGTTATTACTGAACGTGGTCTCACCTGACATGGAATGTGCTGGCATCTTGATCTGGGGCTTCCCAGCCTCCAGAACTGTGTTGTTTCTAAATTACTCACGTGAGGGCATGTCCAGACAGCAGCCCACAGGGACTAAGGATGCTAGTTTACTATGGAGTACTTTCCCGTCTCCGCACTGGTGGAGAGACTACTGGGGTGATCGAGGAGTAATCATCCGTGCTCAGGAAGCCAGCGAAAACCAAGGAGCCCCTACAGCCTCCTCCACTTAATCCTACCCTGCCTGTGGCGCCTGGGAGCTCCTTCAGCTCTTTCCCTGCCATTGACCTGGCCCTCCCCGCCCCACACAGAACCATGGGTAGTGCCGGCCGGCACCCAGCTTCCCAGGACAGCAGTGCAGTCCATGCACGTCCCCAGCACCTGTCCCTCTCCGCCGCAGTTCCAGCTCCATCTGGTACCGACACTCTACGGCCCGCCCGGCGTCCCAGCCCGTGCACTCTTTGCCCACAAGGGCTGCAGGGCCTACGTCGTTCCTGCGCGTTTAGAGCTCTCGCCGTTCAATGAACGGATGCCACCGAGGGTCACTTGGTGGCACCCAATTCTTAGGGGCTCGGCTTGGAAAACCCCACCACAGGGGGCAGCGGCGCTGGCTCCGCATCTCACCCGTGGTTCGGATGGGAGAAGGCCGCCTGGCCGCACTCGTGGCCGTGATGAACCGTGCGTAGTTCATGCCTGGTACAGCCAAGCAGCGAGCTCCGGCTTCAGTTGTGGATAACTAGGAAACCAAAGAGCCCGGTCAAGTCCTCCGTCTCAGCGCTCACTCCGGCCACTGGCTGTTACCCGCAGCGTCCGCACAGCACCGCCTAGGCTCCGCGGCGAACCTGGCCTGGGGCCGGTGGCAGGAGCGCAAAGTCCGCCCGCGGAATGCCGCGCGGTCTCTTAAGTCGGCGCCGCACCGGCACACGCTGGTGACGCCTCGCCGCGCCCCCTCCCGCCCCGCGCCTCGGCCTATGGCCGCCGGCCGCGCGCACCTCCCCGTCCCGGGTCATTTCCCTTAGCGCGCAGGGCATGGGCGTGAGGCCTGGCCGCGAGAAATTTGCAGCCTTGGATTAGTGCCTGACACAGCTTTTAGGTCAGCACGACTCGACCTTGCTGCTGGAGTCGCAGCAACACGAGAGTTCGGGTTTGCTCCGGCGCGGGTCTCGGGTTTCGCGCGGGGGCAGCCGGAGGAGACCGGAAGTCCACCTCACCTCGATCCTTGAGTACCCTCTGGCGGTCGCTTTGATCCGTTGCGGCCGCTGCCTAAACCGCGCCGCGCCTGCAGGCGCGCGTGCGTGCGAGCGCGCTGCGCCTCACCTGGCCTCAGGCGACCTTGCGAACTCAACATTTTACAGGCTCAACCCGTACTTTGCTGGGCCTCTTTCTCCTGTTTCCTGAATAAAACTGTAGGGGTTATCGTGGAAAGTCACCAAGGCGACCCAGATGAATTCCAACATCACTTTCTCCAAGGTCTGAGCATTTAGTTTAGAGCGACGGTGGCGTGCTGACAGAAACTTTCGAAGACTCACTCTGAAAGTCTCCTCAGTTTTAGTATTTCAGCTCCCCTTGAGTTTTCTGACAGGTTGGGAATGTGTTGCATATGTACTGGAAATGAGATAAGCAAAGTTGGATTTCACGAATCTTCCGGTTTATGGCCGTGCTCAGAGAATTTTCCTTAGGTTCACCTGGCTTCAAGAAAGGGAGAAGAAAGAAGAAATTTGACAGATGAGAGACATTAACCACATAGTGAGTTCCAAACTGTTAAAGTCTGGTTGCTCCGATAGGATGGAAAATTCAACGTGGAGGTGTCTCTCTCACCGCTGGCGCTTCTTGTTGCAGAGATCTGCGAACAGGTGAGGTCCCGGGATGCTGGAAGCAGGTGCTCGTGTCCAGGCTTTGGGGATTAGTTCCGAGGCCAACAGCCACCACCTTGCTGCATTCCAAGCTTTCAGCGTAGCGTAGGAGAAACCGAGGACAGAATTCACACTCTGTCTTCCCAGCATCAACGCTAAGGAGATTCTACTGTCCTAAGATGCAGGCTCTCAACCCTTAAACAGTTTACTGGCTTTTCTCTTCAGCCTTCTTGAAGTTGAATAGGTGAGATGGTAGATGGTGCTGGGTGGTTAAAAACGGGGTGGTGATTCGGGCCAGGTAGACAGAAGCAACACCCAGGGCAGGCTGTGGGATGCAGGAGGCACTTGGGGGTTGCGATTAGAAAATACGAGGCAGAACCTAGCCATGGGGCTGGTGTTTTGGCACAGTGGATTAAGCCACCACCTGCACATAAAAACTACATCCCGTATGAACCAGGTTCCACTTTTTTTTTTTGAAATTTTTATTTAATAAATATAAATTTCATAGGTACAACTTTTGGAATATAGCAGTTCTTCCCCCCATACCCACCTTCCCACCCCCAAACCATCCCACCTCCCTCTCCTACCCCATTCTTCATTAAGATTCATTTTTAATTATCTTTATATACAGAAGATCAACTCCATTCTAAGTAGAGATTTCAACAGTTTGGACCCACACAGACACACAAAGTATAAAGTACTGTTTGGGACAAGTTTTACCGTTAATTCTCATAGTACAACTTATTAAGAACAGAGGTCCTACATGGGGAGCAAGTGCACAGTGTCCCCTCTTGTTGATTTAACAATTGACACTCTTATTTATGATGTCAGTGGTCACCCGAGGCTCTTGTTATGTGCTGCCAAGGATGTGGAAACCTTTTGGGTCCACAAACTCCGTCAGTATTTAGACAGGGCCATAAGTAAAGTGGAAGTTCTCTCCTCCCTTCGAGAAAAGTACATCCTTCTTTGATGGCCCCTTCTTTCCAATGGAGTCTCACTCAAAGAGATCCTTCGTGTAGGTCATTTTTTGTCACATTGTGCTGCTCCACTTTGGTCCAGCTCCCTGCTAATGCACCTGGGAAAACACTGAAAGATGACCCAAGTCCTTAGGCCCCTCCCACCCATGTGGGAGACCTGGGTGGAGTTGTAGGCTCCTGGCTTTGGCCTGGTTCAGCCCGTTGATGGAAGGTATCTCTTTCTCTCTCAGTCTGTCTTTCAAATGAATAAAAAAAATCTTTAAAGAGGATGTAATCATGAGAGGGATAGGGAAGAGTTAAGTTGGGATGAGCTTACCAGTTGATCAAAAACTGAAAATTGAAGGCAAAATTGATTGCTAGAGAAACCAGATTTTGGATTTGTCAGGAGCATGGAGGAAAGGAAGTCTGTTGAGAAAGAAAGGTGCAGGAGCAAGGTTCACCACTCAGTGCTGCCTTTTGAAGGACTAGGGATAGGACTGCCTGAACATGGAATTAAAGGCACCAATCCTTTCCCTAAACTTTTCTCAAATTCTTACTCTGTACAAGGAATTGTGATGAATTTAAGAAGATACCAGAGATGAGTCACTGCTCTTGAAGAATCAGAGTTTGTCCGTTGAGGATCAGCAACTTCATAAAATGCAGTGTCCTTAGCAGGGGTAGATAAGGAAAGCAGAGAGGAGGTAGTGATTAACTTGTAGTGGACAGAAGTTCACAGTTAGATTAGGAACACAGCTTCTTGTCCTCTCGTCTGCCTGCCAGAGTTTTGGTCATGGTCACAGTCTACAAACAGAATCTGAGCATACTGTCATCCTCTGCTAGTTTACTTAAAGCCTAGAAATCACTCATGGGAACACTTGTTCCTCACTTGACAGATTTATCTCAGAGCCTTTACCATAATCCGAGGGAAGGAAGCTTCAGAACACTAAGTTACTTTACAGAAATTTTGCTCAAGTTCCTAATTTTTATCCATTTTGGGGCTAGACTGTGACCATGTTGTGTGGTAAATAGAGTTTCAAATGTGTATGTTTTTTTGGGAGGTAGCATGGGGGAGTATGTTATCATGTGACAAATTATTCAAAAACTTAATTGTGTACTTAGTCTGCTGGGGCTACTATAAGAAAATACCATAGACTGAGTGGCTTCAACAACAAATTTATTTATTTATTTTAAGATTTGTTTATTTTACTTGAAAGGCAGAGTTACAGAGAGAGATAGAGGGAGAGACAGAGATCTTCCATTCTCTGATTCATGCCCCAAATGGCCACGGTGGCAGGAACTGGGCCAGATGGAAGCCAGGAGCCAGAGTCCTTCTCTGTGTCTCCCACATGGTTGCAGATGCCCAAGCACTTGGGACATTTTCTGCTGCGTTCCCAGAGATATTAGCAGGGAGCTGGGTTGGAAGTGGAACAGTCCATATGGGATGCCTGTGCTATAGGCAGAGGCTTAACCTGCTATGCCGCAGTGCTGGTTCCAACAACAGAAATTTGTTTCTTACAGTTCTAGAGGCTGGCAGTCCAAGATCAAGGAGTTTCCAGGCTGGGTTTCCCCTGAAGCTGTTCTCTGTGGCTGGCAGATGGCCATCTTATTTCTGTGTGCATATGTGGCATTTTCTCTGGGCACCTGCATCCCTGGTGTCTCTTCCTCCTCTTTTGAGGACATAAGTCATATTAGATTAGATCCCAACCCTTAGGACCTCATTTAATCTTAATCATTTCTGTGAAATGCCTACTCCAAATACAGTCACACTGCAAGTAAGGGCTTGTGAAATTCCTGATTCCAAGATGAAGTCATTCTTGTTAAACCCAGACAAAATTAGAGCTGGGAGTTATGAAAGAGGAAGCTGCATACCTATTATTTTAAGGACTTTCTAAAAACCCCAGAACAAATGCCTTCTCTTCCAACATGCACCCTATACTTTGCTAATCTTACACGTGGACATATATTTCTGTAACAAAGTTTGTCTTTACTGTTGTTTTAGAATACAACAATTCATATAAAGTGCTCTGGATGGAACATTTGCCCAGCAGTGCACCTCCACCAATAAACTGATGCCAGCTCCTACCTCAGGTCTCCAAGACCAATGCACTTTTATCCAAGCAGCTTGTGTGATTCATCTATTTTTGCTAATAAAGTCTTGCCTTCCGTTTCCTTCTTCAAGTGTAACTGTGGCTTTTCCTAGTGTGCAACCCAGCATATGATCCTTTTTGCTTATTTCCAAATAAATTTGTTACACATGGAGGTATTTTTCTCTGTTGTTTCTTTTCCGTGTTGACAAGCTTCAACATATGAATTTATTTTGGTGATGGTAGGGCAAAAGTCAGTCCACAAAAGCAGTGAAGACATCAGATATCTAGCTCATAATTTCTGTGGGTCAGAAATGGAGAAGCTGCTTAACCAGTAGGCTGGCTGAGGGTCAAGGTTGTACCATCTGAAAGCTTGACTTGAACTGGGAGAGCTGCTTGTGAAGTGGCTCGTTTACATGATGCCTTAGTTTCTTGCAGCTGCCATACAAAATACCAAAAGCAGGGTGGCTCGGAACAAAAGAGTTATTGTTTCATGGTTGTGGAGGCTAGAAGTACAAGATAAAGGTGTCAGCAGTATTGGTGCTTTCTGGGATCTGTGGAGGAACATGCTCGACATAATTATTTATTCATTTTTTTTAAAATTTATTTGAGAGGTAGAGTTACAGACAGTGAAAGGGAGAGACAGAGAGAAAGTTCTACCCGCTGGTTAACTCTCCAGATGACCGTAACAGCCAGAGTTGAGCCTATCCAAAGCCAGGAGCTTCTTCCAGGTCTGCCATGTGGGTGCAGGGGCCCAAACACTTGGACTATCTTCCACTGCTTTCCCAGGCCACAGCAGAGAGCTGGATGGTCGATGTAATTTGGTCCTAGATTTTGGTAGTTGGTGGTGATCTTTCATTTTTGTTAGCTTGTAGTTCCATCTCTGATCCCTAGCTTTATCTTCACTTTCTGTTGTCTGTGTCCAAAATTCCCCTCCCAAGAAGGAAGTAGTCACGTTGGATTAGCCACCATAAGGACCT